GTCGACTGAGTGGGGTGGACCACTGTTACTGCCTTGATACACGTAAACAGGAAGGTTTCTTAACTCACCCACTTGTCAGCCGGTGGCAGTCAAGTGATTTGTCCGGCCGGCAAAAGGCGCCCTCCGTACCCCTCTCGTCGAAATCTTTTGGCTCGTGCTAGAACACGAGTCTGGCTGTCGCAATATCAGCCATTCTGTGTACTCTCCTAGTTACCGCGCGGTTAGATGATACTTGGTAGCCCTCCTGACACCGCAAACTCCCAGCTGCCTGTCAATCGGGACCGGTGGTAATAGGGGCCATACGGGTGGGACAATTGAGTGAACGGTTAAATGGCGATTGTAGTATATGCTAGGAATTGATGCTTTAGGTAAAGTGGAAGCCTAATTTAGATTTGGTGAAAAATACAAGGAAGGTATGGAAATGAGCAAGGAGACTTTTAACGGTGTGCGGAATAAAAGCATCCTAACCTCAGTTTGTGAAGAAGAGCAAATGAAGGTGAACAACCTATAGGAAGAAGGCAACTGCTCCAAAGGTCACTCCGCAGTGTGTGCGATAGAACTCCATCCAACATAATGGACAGAAGAACACGAGAGTCAAGCAGCGGGACGCCACAACGCAAGCCGGGTAAGACCTCTATGCGAAAAGTTGGTTTGGGCGGAAGAGAAAATCCGCAAATAACGAGGCAGTCGAAAGCTACCTCTGCTAATGAAAGTTGATAAAGGGTAAGCCTCATTGTCATCGTTACCGGTACCAATCCGCCCAAGATAGTATCTCTACAATGAATGAGGCAGTCAAAAGTTACCTTCTTATGAAAGTTGGTGTAGGGAAAGCCTCATTGTCATCGTTACCGGTGCCAATCCGCCCAGGATAATACCTCCACAATGAATCGGGTACAGGTAATACAGCTTAAATGAGAACGTAATCATAGCTACTGAAATCAAGCCAGTAGGTACAATTGTGGATTCTGTGGGAACGGCAGCCAACTACTTCTTCTAATGAAAGTTGACATAGGGTAAGCCTCATTGACCTCGTACCGGTGCAAATCTGCCCAGGATAGCACCTCTAAAATGAATCTGATACAGGTAATACAGCGTGCGCGTGAATGGAGAAGCATAATGAGAACGCAATCACAGCTACTGAAATCGGGCCAGTAGGTACCATTGGGGAGCCTGTGGGCACGGCTACCACCTATCATCTTACCTACCGCGCTCTATAGAAGAGCCCTTGCTGGGCTGGGGAAAAGACGCTCATGCTCAGTAAAACTAGTAAATTTTATGCAGAAATTTGATGTGGAAGCATGCAGATAACTCTCCCAAAAGGTGGAAGAGCGCAAGTCCAATAGTCCAAATGGCGCGTCAGAATTTGGGCCTGATTTCTTATTTTGTTGACGCTCCGCAATGGGTCTTTTCTGGAGAGCAGGTGCAGAGAACAACATTTGAAGAGTTCGTATGCTGAAGGTTTTGTGTCAACTGGTTTCAATCGGACCTCTGCTTCCTATTTGATTATTCTTGGCACCGTATAGCGAGGAGTATGCTCTCATGCAAACGCTTTAGACGATGTTCTCTGACTCATTGCGATGCGTAATCACACATGTATAGAGTTGAGTTGCGGAATCAGTTAGCAAATATCCCGATGTCGTCCTAGTTTCTGCAGAAACTTACACAGGTCTTCGAATTTATTCTTAAACCCTAACTTCTGTTCTTCCGTTTCCTCTTTGGGGAGTATCACCGACCGTAGTGACTGGTGCGGGATTATTTTCGGATGTCAACCGTCCATACTTCCGGGAGAAATGTATCGGGTTCCTCATTCTTAGATAGTTGTATTCCAGTCCTTTGACCTGTCATTTTCAATACTAGGTAATTTTTTGCGAAATGACCATGAGAAGTCAACTGCCCATAAATTCTTTCGAAGAAACAAATACCGACCCAGCGTGGGCATTCGCGAACAGGAGAAAAGCACCTACAGCATAACTAGCAAATTTGTTTCCAAATCGCGGCAACATGGATGGTCATAAGGATTTCCTATCAAAGGCTCCGAAAATAAGGGTTCCCTGTTTGCAAAGTTGTTGGCTAACCGGTGCGTCTATGGGTGGCGGATAGTAGAACGACCTCCAGTGAGGGTTAGTTGCGCGACTCAAGGACCATACCCAATCAAGCCCCGTTTCGACCTGGGCATGGATGTACCAACCAGATATTCAAACCGAGGCCCATTCTTGTGTCCCTCTATTGTCTGCCAACAACTGACGGCCGTCTGCCTCTCGTGACTTCGCTGCAACCTTTGATTCTGTCTATCGGGAATTCCTCTGGTGAATACTGAAAGTAGACGATATGGTAGAGAGGCGCTCACCGATCGTTTCTGCGGAGCTCACTCGTCCCGTTGTGCCTTGTCTCTCAAGCCCAACCAGCAGCCGCACAGCGGCGCATGATATATAGGCAGAATGATATTACCGACAAAGACAAGGGAGACTGGAATGGCCATTTCTGGCTACTTAGCCGTCCTCAGCCAGTTATACCCAAGCCCGAAGTGTGGAACACCTGGGTTTGATCCCGCGGCCTGTTAGTTAAAAGTCCAATTGAACACGTGGCTCAGTGGTTAGAGGCGTAGGACTCCCAACTAGCAGCTCGCGGGATCGAGCCGCAGGTGTTCCACACCTCAGGGTTGGATATGACTGGCTGACGACGGCTAATAAGCCCGAAATGACCATTCCAGTCCCCCTTGTCTTCGCTGGTAATACCATCCTGACCAAACGATATGTCCGCAAGGATCCTCGCCATGATCAGGGCCTACTACTGTTCTACCGCTATGTAAGTTCTGGTCCACAACAAATTTACCAACCGTTCAGTATCTAATCTGATGTTCAACAAGGTTGTATTCTGTCGTCCATTCTGTTGAACCACGCCATCAACTGCATCTTCAAAAGCGACCTATTCGGGCGCCGACTGACTGATTTCAAACTACGTCGACGATCTCGTTTTGCTCACCTCAAGCTTTGGTGACTCGAACCGTAGTGTTGCGGGTTAATGAAGTCTCTAGATTGGTTGGTTTATCCTTAGACACTGGTCGTCAGCATAAAATACAATGTACGTTTCCAGCGAACTTACCGGCGACTTGTACGAAACCGGACTGTAAATTCCATCGGAAACCTTATATAACACGCAGGCAAAAGCGGCAGGAACCAACTCGACCCGCTGAGCGCCAATCAGGCGTGGTAGGAGGACGGCGCAGCTAACGGCAATACGACTCGGAGACTATTAATAATTTATACCACACTACCTAAATCAAACAAGTAGACACTATAAATATAATTAATATAAGGTATTTATTCGCGTCCCGTCGGAGACTGTCGGGTGGAGGGTAAAGACGGCGTCGTCTCCCGAATCGATGCCACACACAGGGTTTTCAAAATCCCTACAAACTTTCTATGGATCCAACGCGATATCCCCATCGCCACAAAGATCCACATGTACCTGAACTTCATCCAGTTAGTCCTCCCATACTGTTGTGACTGCTCTTCTGCACGCGTGAAAAAAAGGTCGAAAACTAGGTGTTTAGCCACCGTCGCCTGAGAACCACCCTTCGAGTGAAGTACTTCGACTTCGTTTTGAATGAGGCAGTCCGCAGTCGCTGCGACTTCGCGAAGATACCTCTTTTCTTTCAGGAAAGAAGACTGAGGCGTTTCGGGTCTGTTCTTTGGCGCCTGATATACGCAACCTTGGTGCAGTGCGGTGAACTGGGCGGCTATTTTGCTCGGGGAGAGCTTGCTAGGGTAGAGATGGAATTGACCGCTGAGATGTCACGCTGCCTGCAGCTCAGTGACGTTATTCTCTGGGTTGGTAAATACTTCAACCTGACTTACGTTTCTCCTATTTTAAAGCACTACTAGGATCCCATCAACCGCAGGATTATAGCATGCCTGCCCGAAGTTCCGCTTCTGTCGCTTAACGTTACAAGTAGTCAAGTCAGACGCCTCCCTTGGGGGACTGAGAGCGTCCTGTGCACTAGTCGCGTCCTACACGGTGCGCACTGTCTGGTTTCCGAGTGCAAGTCCTCAGCAACCCATGTGCACATGCTCGATCGTTGCCGCTGCCACCAACTTGGTTGCGAGCAGTGTTTCTTCAGCCTCGCAGACGTCCTTCTCAAGTCCCAAGGATTGGGAAGATAATATTACTCCTGAGGTCGCAAGGAAATGATATGCACTGGTCCATCTTCATTGTAGGGGGAAAGTACCATCTCGAGTGCTGCAGTTTGGAGCTTTAAAGGCAGACGGGATCGCACATATTCCGTCTGGCATTCAGAATTTGTCGGTGGACGTCATCTCCACGCGACTTTGAACACTTCCGACCGCAGTCAACAGCGTGGAGAGCTCGCGCCCCGATGGCAGGCCGTTCGACTCAATTAGCAAAGTCTCCAGCTTTTAGTTTTTGGTCTGGCGTTGGAGGTATAGCCGACTCTCATCACTGCACTGCACATCTGCGCAGGGTCCTCTCGAGTACTAGTGATTTTCCTACCTAATGGACTCCTTCGGTTTATCTGATGACACGCCGCTGATCTGTCAAACTTGTTTACTTCTTTTTGCTCCATTCCCATTGTTGTAACCCGTTCACAAAAGTTCGCAACCTGATTCTTTCGGAGTTTATTATACAAAATTTGCGACGAAACAAGTAAGGCGCTTGCAAAGGGTAAGTGCACGGATAAGAAAGGTGTACATGGCAAAGCTTGAATGCAATACTTATATATATGTATAGGTATATACAAGATAAATTGGCGATTAAAACACGTTGGCGGTTGTGTTTACCTCGGTACAACACATACAGAAACAAATAGTGGGTGTCGGTGACATGGACAAAATACGAGAGGAAGAGAGAAGGCAGCAAACCTGAGCTACGAGGGCATTATGAATTGGGTCAAGGGTAGTCCATGTAGTCCTTCTGGGCCTGTTCGGTAGTGTCCACGGGAACTTCAGTTACCAGACCCGATCATTTCAGCCTCACCGGGAGATAGGGTTGTGCCGGGTGCAAGAGCTGCTGGCCCCTCGGACCGGTTATTAGCCTCCAGCTCGGCACCGTCGTCTAATCTGAACATTTGTATGTAGAGGTCTGGAAAGTGAAGGTCTTGTCGAGTTTGCATTAGCTCCTTCACAATGCACCGGTGAGAAGAGTTCATGTTCGTCAGAATGGGCAAAACTTCCATTAGACTGTAGAAGCGCTCCTCGGTGGAGTACTGGACTACACAGCACAGAAACAAAGTGAAAATAGTAAGAACTGTTGACGCCTGGGTGTATCAATGAAAAAATATCTTATATTCCAATTAGTCGGGCTGGCCACCTACTCAAAGCAAATGTTGGTAAACAGCAACAATCCGTATACATACTCCGAATTTACTTCACCAATGAGGCCCTACCACTCTGCTTAAGAAAGACAGGCCTGAGTGGCTAAGCACCTCTCAAGGTCACGCAAATCGGTCAGTCAAGAGAGCTAGCGAATGTCCAGTCGCTTTGCAGTGCCAGCTTTTATACTAACAAAGCAGGGAGCGCTTGTCTAGGGAGAAATATGAGCAGCTCTGGTGCTGATTGATAAAATGGCCTTCACTGGTTTGCCCCAAGCAAACGTTGATCAGACGTGGTTATGTAGCTCCATCTGAAGTAAACAAACCCCCGCCACCTGTAATACGGGACCGGTGGTAATAGGAGCTTTTAGAAGTGGGGTCTTAGAACGCACAGGCGACGAGGTCAAATAGTTGTATGCAAAAGAAAAACTATTGTGAATGCGAGGTTGTACTTTGAGTGGTTGAGAAATAGTCGTCCTAGCCCCTAACCCTAACCCCAACCCCAACAGTATTGTATCCACCAGGTGGAGCTACACAACCATATCTTACCCAAACGTTTGTCCGTCCGATCGCACTTCAAACAGTTGGGATAGGAGATTACTTGGAGCAAACCGTTTAGGTCGAACATGGTCCAACTAACCGGAATTCGCTGTACTAAACAAAATCTGAAAGTGCACTAATTTTGGCAGTCGCTCAATCGCACGCGGTCGGACACGAGGATCAGTTAATCTAAGAATGGCATATTGTTTGAAATTCATCTTTGAGGTGTGAGTTAATTTTACCTGTAATATAGGTTCGTAGAGCAGAAACAGCATGAGCACGCATCTCGTAGATCCGATCGCTTTCTATGAGATTTCTGTTGACTGCAAAAGAATGCATATGTAAGCCGATTAGTTACATCTTATTAGGTAAAAAGACTTCACTTGCTTTTACTTGACAGTAGGCAAGAGCTTTCGGATTACAACAGTAGCTCGCTGCTTGGGAAATGAACGATGCCACCAAACCCTCGAGCTTCGTAAAAAGAGTGAATCTGAGGTTTCTCTCTCAAAGTTGGTCTGCTTGACGATTTACACACCGATCATCGATTTAGTCAACGCATCCGCCTCAATATACAGCAGGTGACGTGATTCGCAAGACGTGGTGACCCCGATCTGGGTAATCATTTTGAGGTCCTTCAAACGTTGCCTACCTTACTGGTTTCGAAAAAGTCCTTTGCTCATGCAAAATGCATTACCAAAAAGGTTCATCGAGTAAGCAATTTGAAAATTTGAGCCGAAAATAACGTTACTCTATGCTCAGGGGATTTCTTATACTGAGAATTGTCCTATGACGAAATATGTGCATCACTGTGTGTTCTTCTACAAGTGGATAGTAATCTAACAAAAAATGTATCAAAACAATTTTCACCAAACTTGAAAGCTATTTTTATTCCGCGGAAATCAAGTGAAGCAGGATGTGAAGTAATAGGTTGACTTAAAAAACCGAAAACTGTTCTTTAAAAATTGCGACCTGCAAATCCGTATGATTTTATGTTCTGACAAGCAGGAACAACGCCCATGGGCAATCCTTTGTTTTAACGCACCCCGTAGTCTCCCGGCATGTGCAAATATTTCACGGGTAACTGTAGGAAGGCCCGCCGTCGAGCGGCCATCTTAACTTCTGAGCATACGGCAGGGTACTTATTGTGCGACCTACCTTTAACTAACACATCATTTGGGACGTACACATCATTAACAGCCTAAGCATTTTTTTAGTATTTTGACCACTCTTTGGTGAATCTATAATCGCAGGCGGAACCCTATAGTAAGCAAAAATAACGAAAATGATTCTATTATAAAAGGCAAAGATAGTTTGGTCGTTTGTGAAAGAAAAACCAATTTGCCAGAGAAGTGCGTAAACGGGAAAAGTCACTTGGGAAAAAGATGAAGAACACGGATCATTGCCAGCGAAATACCCTGGTAAACCACTTTTTTAAAAAGATGACTTATTAGCTAAGGTTTCTCAGTTGATCAAGAGCCTATCAGTCGCAGGCCTCCATCGTATAATTCCACTTTCTTTGACGATTAAATTCAGTATTTATGTGAAACCATGAGTAGGACTCAAGCCACCAGTTGAATAAAAAAGAACGCCGAAGAACCCACTTCCTACGTAAAAATCGTCAAGAATTGTTCTATTTTAAAGGGTTCGACAAACAAAAACTACAGAACCTATCTTCCTGGGCAGTCCGTGGAGAACACAGAAAACTGCAAAGTATCCGTCGATATTTTAAGGACACCCTGAGACTTGGCAGATTCTGTTGTCGCCAGAAAGCGCGCAGTACTTGATACACAGAAAATGACACGTTCATGGGATGGAGTGGTATGGAATGTTTATGACCGGCCTCTCAACACACGATCTTTCAAAAGCTGTTGTTTTTATGACGTCCCCATCCGTGAACTCAAGCGAAATCCTCTTTATCTCAACCAACCGCATCTCGAGCAATGCAAAAATCGACGAATTACATTGAATACTCGTAACGTTACTTTTAAACCTATAATCGTGAGCCAAGTGTTGGCTAGCAGCTATACTGTAGCTGAGCCAATCCTTGGGGGATATTTAAACCAAAAGTGGCCCAGGTGTTTTTTTGATTTTATTTTGCGAGTAGTTATATTTGCTCGGCTACTTGTATGGACGGGTCTTATGTATTTTTGTGAATTGAATTTACTCATTCGAAATGAGTATTTGCGCTTTCGGTATTTTCAAAATGCTTAAGAAGGTTGTCATTTCTAACCAAGGTAGTGCCACCCTCAATGCTTCTACGTTGCCAGTTAACTGAAGTTCTTTTAGTTTTGGTCAATTTTCGGTCGAATCAGTTCCTGACTGGTTAAACACTTTTTCGAAAATTTCCGTTCGTTTCACGAGTTACGCCACCTACGGTAACTATTACGGTCGAAAGCTTAAGGGAAAACGAGTCCAAACTTAACTTAAGCAGACTAATCCGCCGACGCCAACAGGCTGGGGGACCGACTAAATTACAAAACACTCGAAACCAGGAAGAGCTGAAGTACTACTTTAGGCGCAACAGCGAGGTAGCTTACAGTGCTGCAAGAAGACGATGCAACAGAGGAGGGCAATCTCGTTTTCATCCATATTCTTTGGCCTGAGGAAGGTTCCAGCGTCACGCAATTGGGCAGCAACCTTCCTCATGATAGGAAATTCGGTGAGAATATATCTGCGTTCTCGGGGCGTGAAGTTGAAGAAATTGTACTCCATGGAAGTGGCATTGAAGTCGCGTGACATTTGGATGAGGACTATTGGGTACATACTCTCTTGCACCAGGACTTTGGTGTCTGAACGAGGAAGATCTCGAAAACCTGGAATGGCGCGCGCAAACCGAATGACCTGATGTGCGTGCGCCTCGAACTGGGCCATCATGTAAGCCCACACGACCGATGCGGAGAGCTCTGGTTCCAGGAGAAAATTTGTCGTGACCTTGGTGTTCGAAAAAACACCCTAATTAGTAATGTGTTTTCAGGAAAACATTGATTTTTAAATGCTTTGTCCGCGCTGTTGCTGGTGGTGGTGGTGGTGGTGGTGGTGGTGGTGGTGGTGGTGGTGGTGTCCCAGGCAGATTCCAGTAGATAAATTTCACGCCATACCCTTCTTCGGCAGTCGTGAAGATTGCTTGCTGCCTGAACTACTTGTTCTGTAAACACCTTCAGGGGCATCTGACTAGTGAACGAGTAGCACGGTGTCGATGCCGCTGATGAGTAGCCACCGTTCTGCGCCAAAGCGATCTGGGAAGGTTGTGGGTTCGTGGCCGTGAATTTTACCGAAAAGTCGGTTGCAGCCGCGCTTGGATAAACACCGGGCGAAAAGGAACCGGAAAATACCGTTCTGGCTGCCCCGTAGTCGGAAGACATCTGTGCCGACGGATCTCGCTCGCCTGTCTCTCGCGACTCGCTCACCTCCTCGCGACGTCGTTCGTCCCCTTCACACATCTCTTCTGTTAGAAACAACATGTGATCATTTTTAATTTGGCTTAGTGTTTAGGACCCAAAGCATTTACTTCAATTGTCTTCGCCTGGTGTAAGCCAAATCCGCTCATTTATAGGGCATACTTTGTTCTCACCTTTGTCTGTTGGATGGTCTGACCCCGGAGTCGGGTCCGCATCATGACCAACCACCGCGACGGCACTAGCCACCAGATCTCTGTAGTTTTGCAAGAACTTGTTCCCCTCCTCCGGAGAGCTGTCCGACAAACCGCGAGATCGACCTCCACAGGTCTGCGATTCGCTGCCGTCCGTCGCCTCGCTTTTTATCCGCTCCAGCAGACGCCGTTCCGAGGGTTCGCTACTTGGCCGTGTCATGTAGAGCGCCGAACTGCCCGTTTCCTGTATACCAACGGAAGTCGCCGCGTTCATTTCCAGACGGGCTATCCCTTCGGCTGTGCCTGAGTCGCTCGCGGAGTCGACCCTCTTAGCCAGGCGGATCAGGCTGGAAATCTTGAAAACGACGTGCTGTTCGGATTACTGCCGTATCATACACACACGTAGGTAGCAAAGTGTGCTCTAATGCATGCAATTAACTTACAGCCTCTTGTTCGTAATTGTTAATTGGGCTGCTCCCTCGCCTATCTGAAGTTGAATCAAGGTAGGTGCCAGATCTCCCAAATCTCGCCTCCACTTCTTCGA